GGGGCCCCGGCCTGGACCCCACGGGACATGTAGAAGCTGCCTGAGGTTCACCTAGGGTTGGGGTACTGTGTGAGTACCGGTCCTGGAGTTTCCCTGCACTTGGCTCTGCTGGGCAAAGACCCAGTCTCCCCGCCACCCACCAGGAAGCCCTCAGGAACTGCAGACTGGGACAGCCCCACCTCTTTCGTGGTCTGACACCCACCCCGGGTGGCCCTGCAGCTGAGATCTTCTCTGAAGCTCTCCAGAGCCCTGCAGACCTGATCTGTTCTCAGCCCCCGTGGTTCCGGTGGGATGGTCCTGGCTGCTGCCAGGTACGTACACAAAGACAGACCCATAAGGTCTCTATGGGTAGACCTGTCCCCTCGGGACTTACCTCTTGAGCTCTGGGTCCCTCTGTGCCTACCCTTGCCAAGCAGACAACTGGAGGCAGCACCCACCAAGGCTGTGAAGATCATTGCCCCCACCACTCCCAGCTCCTTGTTACCACATCTCGGCTTCAAGGCTTTGCCTGCCTGGCCAGGTCCCACCCAGAGCTCTATCCGCAGTAGCCAGTGAAAGAGACCTTTCACATCCCTGGCGCCTGTGGCTTCCCCTGGGCCATCCAAGACCAACAGGCCAGGCCAGCTTCTGGGCAGGAAGCTCAAGGGGCCCCTTCACCCTCAGCCACCTACAGGGCCTCCGGGGACCTCATGCCAGACACTGTCTCACCCCAGGCCCAGGAAGTTCTGGGCTTGGGGTGTTTGGGGCTGGCCTGGTTGGGGTAATGCCTCAGGCTGGCCTCTCTTCTCCACCAGAGAAACACAGCTGCTACCTATCTGGGCAGTGGACTGGGTGCAGTCTAAGGTGGCCCCAGCCAGGGCCACCATGATCTGTGGGGCTAGCTTGGTCCCTAGCCCACCTGGTGGTGCAGAGAGCATCTGACCCCAGACAGGTGGAGTCCCTGAGAGCAGTGTCTGGTCAGGCTCATGGACACACACGCACACACACACTCCCCTGCCACAACACTCCTAGAGGTCTTGGCACCAACTCAGCCTTTCCGGGGATCAGGACAGTGCCCTCATCAGCAGAGAGCAGGAATGACTCACAGTCCCGTTATGGCAGCGGCTGTGTCCACTGTGAGCGAAAGTCACGTCCACTCAGGGTCCAGCCTCTTTTCTGCTCTGACCCTAGGCCCAAGGGGAGAGCTGAGCACATTGGCCCCAAACACGGGACATGGCACCTTTCAGGCCAAGGAACTGGGACAGCTTGGCCCATCTGCTGATACAGTTTGGCCCGGGTCTAGCTTGGCCCCTGGCCTCCCTACCAACCTGTCTCACGCCAGCCTCCAGCTCCCCCACTGGCCTGCCTTTTACTGCCCACCCCAGTGATCAAATGAGAGGGAATGATGAGAGCCAAAGGGCCAGCAGGGGCTGGTGAGAGCTGGGGGTCGGGACTGCCAGCATCCGGGAAAGTAGCCGTCTTGGCCCAGTGTTGGCTGTGGTGGCACAGACAAGGGTGGGAGTGAAGGATCCCTTCAGCTGACTCACCCACTGCTCTCTCCAGCCTGCAGCTCCAGCTGGGTGTAGACAGCAGGAGATGGGTCTGAGCCCTCATCACGACATCCCTACAAGTTCTGGGAGGGCAGGAGCAAGACTAGTGTTTCTGGAGCTAGTGCTCTGGTGCTGTGGGTGTTCCCAAAGAAAGATAGTATCTGGGCCTCAGCTCCCTCTGGGGGACGGATGCCTGGCAGCTGGGAAGTGGCTGGGAGGTTCCCCTGTAGTAGACAGAACAGTAACACCCAGCCACAGGAATGTTCAGGGCCCACGTTCCTCTCCCCAGAGCCAGCAAAGCTGTCCCCAAAGAGCAGGGCCTTGCCTGAATGTCCTCCTGTGGGGCCAGCCAGGGCTGTACTCAAGGACCAAGCAAATGGCTCAGGAAGGAATGCTGGGTCCCCTAGCTCTGATGGCCCAGGGAGAAGCCCATTGCTCCTACACCCTGCCTGGGAGGGTCTATCTGGGCCAGGGATCATGGGGACGGTGCCCCAGCCCTGTGGGTCAGCTCACAGAGGGTGACTCAGTGAAGACAGGATGACAGATCTCAGGACAGAAATGGCTCTGATGTGACTGATGGCATCTCCTTGACAATGGGGCAATGTGCCTCGGCGCTGTGGTCCCCGAAAGGGACATCCTGCAGTGTTACAGGGGGTTTTCTGTACTCCTCCTTGAGCCTACCTTCTGGAGCCCAGCAAGTTCATGCTGTGGGGATGGGAGTCTCTGCCACCAGGGAAGGCTGGGGGCCAGGAGGAGGGGGCCTGGCACCCTCCTGGGGTTGGAGATCCTTCTCTGATGGTGGGGGTGACCCGTGTTCCTGGGAAGCTGCTTAGCGCCACCAGGATAGCAGGGAGGGCTCAGCAACATCAGGTCAGTAGTGTCAATGTCTGGGAACAGTTAGCCCAAGCACGGGGGCCGTGGGTGGCCAGAGAGGAAGACAGACCCCACCTCAGCTGGGCAAGGCTGCCGGTTCAGGAAAAGGTAGATGATGGGCTCTGTTGCTGGAGGCACCAGGGTGGATCCTGGACCAGTCATCTGCTACCCAAGAGTGAGCATGTGTCCTGGCTGGGAGCATCCACAGACAGGGAAGGAAGCTGAGGGAAATCCTTGTGTGCAACCTGTGTCTAGGTTCGGCTGGACAATGCTGCTGACAGGGGTCCCTCGGGGTGGTACAGTGGCACGGGGAGGGGAGACATGCGGCAGCCAGGAGCAGCCCACCCTTTACACCCTGTCCTAATGAGATCACTAAGCATTGGTGGCTGCCAAGGTAACCACTGCATCCTCTGTGCTTAACTTCCTGTCAAGGAGACAGGGCTGTGGGCGAATGTGGGCAGACAGCCCAGGGTGGACATCAACCCTTCTGCCCACTGAGGAGGCCTGAGTCATCTCTGACCACTCTCCCTGTTCCTAGGACCCGGCAGCTGAAAGGCCTTCCTGCACCTTGCTGTATCTCGTCTCTGCAGTAGATAAGGGCACCGAGGGGCCTCTGGGCACACAGCAACTGCATCTGTTCAGATGGTTGCAGGGGAAGGGGTTGGCAATCTGGGAGTCAAGGGGACATTCAGTAAAGGTAGGTGGCCATCACCTGGCCCAGGGTCTGTCTGGCTGGAGAATCTCATCACTATCATCTGCAGGCCAGGACCTACGGGTACAGCTCACTTGCCCTCCTGCATCGGAGCCCAAAGTACTCTCCCACCAACAGGGGCGGAGTTTCCAGTCGACCTGGGTGTGAGTGCAGCAAACCCAGGGACCCTCTGTCCCTTGCCTTCCCCAGCTGTGAAATGCACGTGATAGTAAAGACCTATGGCGGTTGCCATGCGCCTACAGCAGTTAAAATATGCCACGTGCTTAGAATCACCCCAGCCGTGCCACCCTATCCAGCAGCAGACACCATGAACTTCGCCCAGGACCAGGTCCTGTGCACTGCCCTCATCTGCAAATCAGCCTGCCAGCCTCAAGAGCCCTCAGCGCCGATGAGACCGTGCGTGGGCGCCCGGAGGTGATAATGACAGCTGAGAGGCAGAGTCATTACCAATCAGCCTACTCTCAGGCTTCCCTGAGAGAGCCCTGGCTAGTGGGGGTGGGCAGGCACCTCAAGGACGGGGCGGGGGTCCTCACCACCACCTGACCTCCTGCAAGCACTTGCCACTGCTGCCCCTCAACCACGGCCAGTGAGGACCCAGGACAGGGACAGCGTTCAGCATTCCCAGCCCTCCCCAGACAGGCAGCGGGCCTCTGGGCATCCACACTTCCCCATTGGCATGACATCCGATGTGTCTGGGAGTGGAGCCCCCAGCCACCTGTCCCTGTGGATGGACTACAGGGAGTGACCAAGGGTATTTGGCAGTCCTGGGCCTGCCTGGTGGCCCCAAGGACTTTGAGAAACTGCATGGACAGGAGATTAACTGGCCAAGGCCTGCAGGATGGCATAGGGGCTGTGTGTCCTGCAACCTCTGTTACCGATCACAGGGTACGGGGGGCCGGGCCATGTGATGCACAGGTCCCAAAGCCTCTGTTGGCCCTGTCCCACTGCTGGGCTTCGTGGTGGCAGTACCTGGGGCAAATTTTAATGGCACTCCAAGAATGAGAGCAGGCTCCAGCTGTCGCTGTGGTGACCAACAGCTGTGGTAAGCAGCGTGGTTTCCGTGGGGACAGAGATGATGTTTGCTCCAGAATGGTCTCACTGGAAGGTGGAATGGAAGCCTCGCACAGTAGCTGCTCCTGTAGAGGCTGGGGGCAGGTGTCACAGGTCAGGGGTAGGTGTCATTGGCTAAGGGCCTGGCAGCTGTGGGGGAGAAGTCCCTCTAGAAGCAGGAGGCTAGGGCTGCCTGAGCCGCTCACACCCCAAGGAGGGCACCAGCCTTGACAAGATGCCACCGCACCCATGCTCTTGGGGTATGATCAGGCCCCCTTCCTGGGTTCCATCTAAGGGTGGCGGAGAGAACTTGCACTGTCCTGGCCACTGTACCCTATGAGTCTGGGGCCCTGGGTAGCAAGATGGAGCTGGGCTACAAGGGGGCCCTGGAGGTGTGGCCTGAAGGATCTCTCGAAGTGGGGTCCACTCAGCAGCAGGAGGGACAACAGGTGGACTGAGCGGCCACTCTGAGAACACAAGAGCGGAGGCCGGGCCTGGGGGTGCAGGCAAGAGGGGCCATGTGATGACCCCAACCGATGCCCACCTGAGACTGCTGGTGATGGCACAGAGCGGCCATCCTAGTTGGGAGGTTAGCTGGACAGCCCTGCCGGGGGTGGACACATGTCAGCAGCCGCAGTAGGGCTGGGCTGGTGGGAGCTCCTGTCCTCATCTGCGCTCGTGTCCCCCGGGGCCTGAGGATTCTAGGCCTTCAGCTCATCTCCCCTGGGTGGGTCAGTGGGGTCTGCTGGTTGCGTAGGAGACTGAAACACCTGCTCGGATGGACAGTAACTGCAGATTCCATCTGGGTCATACACAGACAGAGACGGAAAGCTAATGTGTTTTTTATTTGGGGGCAGAATAGTGCAGCGGTCGCAAGTCACTGGAAGCCAGCCAGCTGGAGGACAGTGGGGTATCGGGTGCGGTGGGCCATGCACTTCCGGCGATCCACGAAGAGGCTGTTGGTCTTGACAGCAATGTCCTTCTCCAGGCACATGCGAGTGTCCTCCAGGTTGTGCAGTGCCTGCTGGGCCTCCTGCAGCTTCTCCCGCAGCAGGGAAAGGGACAGGTTCAGCTCCTCCACCTCACTCAGCAGCCTGTGGGTTGGATGGAAGCACGAGGTTGGGGGGGTTCAAGTCGGGGGAGTAGAGCTGAGCCTGAGATGGTCTGGATTTTCAGGCAAGGGGGGATGAGACCCACAGGAAGTGGCCCAGAGCACAGTGGAGAAAGAAATGTGCTGCACCCTCAGTGGATCCCCAAAACCTGAGTATGAATTAAGTGTGTGTTCCAATTGAGCCCAAGAAGGGCCTTTCCAGCTGCCCCAGGGCAGGGAGGGAGTGACAGACACTCCCAGGCTGCATCCCCGGTGTTTGCTGTTTTCGCAAAGACCAGTCCTTGACACTGAGCGAGAATCCAGTTCCATGAACAAACCCAGGCGCAAGAGATGACAAAGAAGGAGGCACTTGTACTCAGGAAGGTAACCAGGCACTCACTAAGTTAGGAACAAAAGTCATGATGCTTCCGTGTCTGGGCAGGGATGTGAGTAACACGGTCATGTCAGACAACCCTGCCTGGCCTCTGCCGCATGGCCCCTGAGGATCCCGAGTCTCCTTCTGGAAGATGACACAGCCCAGGTGACATGTCCTGACACCCAAGTCCCTCCCTGGACCACATCCAGTGTCCGGGTCTGATCAGGTAAGTGTGGACTGCTCCTCTAGAGCCTCTAAAGCTAAGGGAGGCTCGAGGGGAGCACCTGAGCTGGGCAGCATCTCGGCACAGCTCCACGTTGGGCCTCTGGGAGCGCTGGTACAGGCGGGACTGGGCAACCCGCAGAGGTGCTTCCTTGTCTTTGATGGCCTGCTTTAGTGCTGCAGCCTGCTGCTCCTGGTCAGTGATTTCCCGTAGTGTCTGTGCAGGACAGTATCATGAGTCCGCAGCCAGGCTGGGATGGGGCAAGAAGACCATACCCCCCAGCCCTTCCTTCTCTCTCTGGGTCTAAGTCCTGGCTGGAGACGCTTGAGCCCTGGGACATGTCCAGCACCCAACGGGCTCTGGTGAGGGCTTTGCAGCTGCTACCTAGCTCTGGCCTGAGAGTCTCCAGCCCTGGTGACCAGCAGGTCCTAGGCCCTGGTCAAGAACCCAATGGGCGTGCAGGCTGCACAAGTCACACCAAGAACCTAGAGTCACATCCCTGCTGGCAGGAGAGGACTAGGGGGGCGGGGGTGGAAGGCATGCCGCACCCCAAACCTCTGCCTGCCCACTCTACAGGATGCTTCCTCTGCCAGCCCTCCCTGGTTAGCCACTCAGGGTGGCAATGCCAGGAGACCACTCCCAAGTGAAACCTGAGTTTGCACCAGCTTAATGAGAGTCCAGGGGGGTGGGGACACCTGTTTCTGGGGTCCCTCCGGGTGGACAGGGCAGAAGAAGGTGAGGGGGTGAGGCTAGGCAGAGACTAGACAGTGGTCAAGGGCTTCTGGGCCACCAGGATCCTGGATGCAGTGTGGGCGTGTCGCGGGATGGAATGGGCATGTCCAAGGGGTAGGTGGGTGTGTCCCTGGGGGCAAGTCCCTGGTGGGGGGCGTCTCGGGCAAGGGTGGGCATTCCGGGGTAGGTGCGTCCCAGGCGGGGTGGATGTGTCCCGCAGCGGGAATTCCAGCGTGTCTCGGGAAGGGCGGGCGTGTCCCCAGTGGGTAGGCGTGTTTTAGGCGGAATGGACGTCTCTCAGTTGGGCTCGGGCACGCCTAGGCACAGGCCAGCTGCACCTTCTGCAGGTGGTACTGCAACTTTTGGCGCGCATCCTCCAGCTCCTCGCAGCGGCTCGCAAAGGCCAGGTTGACAGCGTCGCACTGCAGCCTCAGGTCCTCGGCCGTGTCCCGAAGGATGGCGTCGATAAGCGTCCGCAGGTTGGCTGAGGCCTGGCGTTCGCGCTCAGCGCGGAGCAGGTTGTCCCGCGTGAAGTGCGCCCAAGTCTCGGGCGTGGAGGCGCTGCGGGTAGGCGGGGC